GAAGCACTCGGCAAACTCCAGGGTTACTTTACCCATTCTTCAATGCAAAAATGACGCCTCTTTATGGCGCTATCAATAACCGCTCGCCTCTCCTGCTGCCGCAGTGGCCACATACATAATATTTAAACCACATTGGTGAATGACAGAGACAGACGGATATTTTTAATCCCAACAGACTATTACGGTTCATATCATGTCTGTCAAATAAATATTATGAATCATTTCCCGTTATCTTTATGGGGGCAAGTTGGTGACATCAGGGGATTGGGCAGGGAGTCTTTTCTCTGAATATTTATTCAGTTCGTATGTATATGTATGTGAACAGGAAATTTATGGAGCAATTGTCGATAATAAATGCCCCGATAAAACACATTATCTCTTCGCTTGATGGGCTACGTGTGGAGAGGGGCAGGGTGCAGGAGGCGGCAAGAGTTATGCTGCCTGAACTCAGGTGAGGTTGGGATCCTGTCCTAGGCTGGGAGATTCCCTTAGTGTTCTTAGCTCCTGTGATGTGTCAGTATCTACTTTCCACGGTCATCTTGTTTTAAGCCCAACAGCCCTCTATGATTCATTGATCATGTCCTCTTATCTTACAGAGGAAGAGACCGATGTCCGCGAAGGGCCTTTGTCCGAGGGTAGAGTTGGCCGTTTTGGCCTCTTCCTCCTGGTACCTCCCACAACACCCCTTTCTCCAAAGCCATCAGCTTTCCTTTCTCTCCAGTCTCCAGACTTCCCTGCCATCTCCTGCCCTGTGAGGAGGCAGGTGCAGTGGCTCGCTGGATGGAGGCGTGTGAGATTGGCAGTCTTCTGGGGGGGGGGTTTGGGAAATCTGGCCACTAGCTGGTGCCCATGGTGCTGGGTCTACTGTGGGACCCAGACTCAATCTCAGCTGCACCAGCCTCAATCAGTGTCTCTATCTATGGAATAGGGAGTAGGGTCTTCCTGGCTGGGAAGGCACTGGTGGAGGCCTGAAGTATGCTGCAGACCTGGCACCTGCGATACACAAACATCCTTCTCTTGGGACTCATCTCTCCTGTCCCTCCACTTTCCCCAGCACCCCTGGAACTGCTAGGGCCCTCTGAAACGCACAGGTTCTTGCACAGAGTTGCTCCCTAATCCTGTTCCCTCTCTCATAGAGGCCCTAATTGTAAGCACATCTGTCCCACCCCATCCCATGCTTCTCCACTGCTGGTGACAGACAGAAGGATCTCTTGGGATTGAAGACCCCCAAGGTCCTGATCCATAGGCACTACTGTCCTTTGTGGCTACCAATTGGGACAGACAGGAGTACAAACAACTTTTCCTCTTACCCTCTGGAAAGACAGGCATGGAGAGGGGGGCTGAGTCTGGACAGTTGGGCTAGTCACAGCTCCACGCGGCCTTGCCTCTCTGAGCTTCGCCTTCCATCATCCAGCTTGGCTCACGGTTACTCCAGACTGAGCCACTGGGGGGGGGAGGGGTCCTCCACTGGGAGACCAAGGGACTCTGTGGGTTAGGTGCTGGAGTTCTGAAGAGGGCCTTATCGAGGGTTAGACACTCCAGCCCCCTGTTATCTACCACTAGTTCAGGATTTGAATTTCCTGGTCAAGAATATTCCACTAGAAATGAATTGGGAACAGCTCAGTCCCCCTGGAGTCCCAGGAACTGCTGGGCCCCAGATGTCTGTCTGATGTAGCCTCAGGGTGCCCAGCAACACTGGCCTTTAAAAACTCCATTCACTAGTCAATCCCTAGACTGTTTACAAGGCTGAGTTGGAGCAGTGTGAGAAAAGAGCCAAGGTACCTTAAAAAGCATCCTTCACGGAGTTAAAAAAAAAAAAACCAAACAAACAAACCAAATGGCTCTCAGACTGTAGGCATAAGCAGAGAGATATTATCACAGAAGCTTTTAGCTGCCGAAGTACATGGTACAGGGAGGTTTTCCCCATGGTCAGCTTGCCTGGGACAGCTACTGTCTTTGGCAGTTTCACATGGGTTCACTCCCACCAAAGAGCCCGAAGTTGAGGGGCAGGTGGAACATGGTGGCTGCAGAAATAATAGGCAGCCTGCTATATTTTCCATCCCAGAGCTGGAGGGTTTGAGGTAAGGCCTCCCTCTGGTACCCTATCTGCCCTTTGTCCTGGGTACCTGTCTGTGTCCCTGTCCTGTGTTAGAAAGAATAGGTGATTGCTGAGGCTGGACGTGAGACTGGATTGGGTTAGTAGGGTCTGGACCCCTTATGTCCCCCACTATCCATCTATATCCTAGAGTGGCCAGGCTGTCCCTGTCCCCAACTAAAGGCATGGAAACCTGCTTTCCTAGGCCTCTCTGCCTCCCAACAGTTACAGCTTTCCATACAAGTGACAAGGCTGGAGGAGAGTTGGGATGGGGAGGGTGCTGGACACCAGAAAGTCGGGGTGTCCGTCCATCATCAGGAGGTGACCTCAGATTCCACTGCCAGCCCTGGGGACCTTTGGGCTGAGCTTTCCCACAGTAGACCTGAGTGTTGTGGTCTGACGGCCAGGCTGGCTTTCAGCTTCTTCCTACCTCTAGGCCACTGCCATGCCAACCCTTCTACCTGGGTGTGGCATCCTGACTCAACCGGACAAACATGTCCGTTCTTCATAGCACAGCTCAAGGACCAGCCATCAGGAAGTCACCAGAGCCCCTGGCTGGGCCTTGTCCTCCTGTCTCTGGTCATGGTGCTTTGGTTCCGCCTGCACGACTTCATCCTGAACCATGGCTTCTGTGGTCATGGTGTGGCCACTCTTGCCTGTGTCTTCCCTATCTTGTGAGAAAATAACCGCCACCTGCCAAGCCCTCCTCCTGGCCTAACAGTCTCTATATTGCCTGGTTAGTCATTCCAATGACCCAGTAATGAGGGTGGGATTATCTGCACTTTACAGATCAGGGAGCCAAGGGCAAGAGTGGGGAGGCTCTGCTAGGTCACTAGACAGCTGAGAGGCAGAGCTGGGGTCTGCCCTTTCCTCGCCCGTCTTGACCACATCTTCCCTGAGCACCTAGGGTTGAGTCTTCACTATGGACTGCTGATTGGAGAATAGAGATCATTGAAGTTTCTCTGTTCATCGCCCCTCCCCCCAACCTTCCTCATCCTCTCTGTTCTGAGACTTGTTGTGGGCAGGCTGTCTGCAGCCCACAGATTGCATTGTATTGGCCATGCACTGGGAGGGGGGCCTGGAGGTTCTAAGAACACCTCTCTGGCCTTGCTGTGGACACAGGGAGTTCGTTCTACCCACTCAAGGCCTGCCAGAGGATTCTCAAAATGGCCCTGTCAAGGAAGGGAGTCTGGGTGCTTTTCCCTTTGACTAGGTGCACCAGCAGAAGCACTGTAAATTGGGTGCCACACTAAGGGAACAATCCAGGTGATGGGACAGGCCTGGGAAAGGGGACCTGGTTTGTAGCACAACCCAGGGCGTTTAGTACCCCTGTTTTTTTTTAATATTTATTTATGTATTATGTATACAGTGTTCTGTCTGTATGTATGTCTGCAGGCCAGAAATGGGCACCAGACCTTATTACAGATGGTTGTAAGCCACCATGTGGTTGCCGGGAATTGAACTCAGGACCTTTGGAAGAGCAGGCAATGCTCTTAACCACTGAGCCATCTCTCCGGCCCCCTAGTACCCCTGTTTTGCTCTTTCTTTTCTCCTGCCCTGTATGGACAGGCCATAGGAGCACCAGGGATGACCTTCCTCTGGGACAGGTCTGTGGGCCTTCTGGGATGCTGCGAAGAAGCATCTTAAGGAGGGTTCCATAACTTTCCAATACAGAGAAGAAAAAGTGCAGTTCTGAAGGGTGGCAGTAGTGCACCCAGGCAGGGCTTTTCTTTATGTCTGGAGGGGAGGTGCTCTCTTTGGGCAGCACCCACTCTGTGTGGCCTGTGGACTTTGGTAAGCCCCTTTGCCAGGGCCTCCACGCTGGATGTTGGTCTGGCCAGCACCAGCTGGGAGTGGAGGGAGGCGGGACTGCCGGTTGCCTAGCTTGGCTCAGGGACACAGTGCGCTTAGGGAGCTGGCTTGGCTCTGCTCAGGTAGCTCACACCCAAATCCGAATTCCAGCCGCCCAAGACGGCGAGCTGCGAGCGGGTTGCGGAGGAGGCCCAGGCTCTCCCTGGGTAGGAGTGCTTCCTTTCGTTTTTAAACAAACAAATCATGAATTTAAAAGTCAGGGCAGAGAGCTGCCCAAGGTATAAAAATAGCCTGGGGCCACTGGGCAATGTCCGAAGCCGGCACAGTGCCTCTCGAACCCCGCACCTCAGAGGAGGGTAGGAACCGTCGGGGTAACACCGGTACGCGAAGCGCCCCCCACCCCTACCAGTCTGGCCTTCGGTCAGATACCGTGGTCCTTTTGGGGCCTCCCGCGTGTGAGTGGGAGGGACTGGGGCATCGGAAGGGCAGCATCCCCCTGCTCAACTGTTTGCCTCTGTCTCACCGCCCATCCCCGGCCTCAGTTTCCCCATGTGTCCGTCTGGGTATACAGGGGCCTTGGCTCTCTTATAGGGAACCCTGCCGGACCAGGGTCCCCGAGCGGCCACGGCCGGCCTCTTTGTGTGTCCGCGCAGACAATGGCCCGGCCGCTGAGCTCTCCTCCCGGCCCCGCTCTCCTCCTCCACCACCGCGGGCCGCGGGGATTTTGGGCAGCTGGGGAGGGAAGGCTTCTTCAATCCGCCGCCCCGCCCTCCTCCCACGCCGCCGCCCCACTGGCTCCCGGGATCCCCTGGCAGACGCAAACTTGCAAGTTTGCAGGACGCTCAGAACTCGGGGTCTGGAGGCGAGCGCGGGGCGGCGGCGGCGGCGACGGCGGCGGCGGCAGCAGCGGCGGGCGGGGCGCGCACCGGCTGCGGGCGGGGCGAGTGGCGGCGGCGGCGCTGCGCCGAGTCCGCGCCCGTCGCGGGCCCCCCGCCGCTCCCCCCGCTGCAGGCCGGGCCGGAGCGGGTCGCGGGCGCGCGGCGGAGGCGCGGGTGGCGGGCGCGCGCGCGAGGCGCGCGCAGGCACAAGTAGTTTACATTGTTGGGCGACTTTTGCAACAACTCGCCGCGCCGCGGCCTCCGCGCGCCGCCGCCGCCGCTGCCGCCGCCGGCTCCCCGCCGCCCGGGCCCGGGCCGGCCGCGCCGGGGGCCGCCGCGCTGCCGCCCCGCTGCTCTGCCGCCGGCCGGGCATGAGTTAGTCGCAGACATGGACACCAAACATTTCCTGCCGCTCGGTAAGTGCCGGCCGCGGCGGCGCGGGCGAGGGAGGGGGCCGGGGCCGGCGGGGCGGGGGCGCGTGCGCAGCGCGCGTGGGGGGTCCGGTCGGCCCGCTGGGCCCCGCGCCGTGGCTGTACCGAGAGTTGGCGCGCCGGGCCCGGGGCAGGCGAGTGGGCACAGGGCAACTTTTCCCGGGCCCGAGCGCGCGGCGGGAGAGGGCGAAGGCGCCGGGCCTCTTGACTTGTCGGGGAGCAGGAGTGGGCGGCGGGGTTGGGGCGAGCGGCAGGTTCGCTCGGGACGTGGAGAGGGTCCTTCACGGTGCGCCTAGCGCGTCCGCAGAACCCCGGGGCGCCGAGCCCCAGCCGCCCAGGAACCGGGCCACGCCAGAGGAGCAACTTCTGCGCTCGCTGGAGGGCTCCAGGCCTCCCTGGCACTGGGATGGGGGCGACGCGCTGTGCTCCAGGAGGCCACTGCTCCTCCGGGCTCGTCGGGATGCTATTTGGAGCAGGCCGCTGGCCCCTGGGTGTCTGTTCGCCCAGGACGGAGTCTGCGATCTTGCCATTCCCCGACAGCAGCCCAAACCTAGGTGGGCATGGTCACTCAGGGGCCTGTGATCAGGAACATCAAACCCAGAACCGGGGCCCCACACTCTGGCACCCCTAGTTTTTCTCCCTGGTATTTAGGGGGAGGATAGCCCATCGGCAGAAAAGTCCGTTTTCTTGTCCTGTTGCCCTCCCGCCAGCAGTTCTCAGCCGCAGACAGCCTGCCAACTCCGGGAGTAGAACCAAGCAGGGTCGGAACCCCCCAACCATTACTCTTGCTGGGGTTTTGGGAACCAGAGGGAAGCAGTGTAGAGAGACTTTATAAATGAGCTCTGGGAAGGATATTAATTTGGTGGTGAGGACAGCAGCCAGGCTGTCAGGCTGGTGAAGAATTTGTGCTGAATGGCAATCAGGACAGCTGATTATGGACGAGGCTCCATGACGATCATTGCCTCTTTGCTTACCCATCCCCTATGAAGCTTGGGGTGCAGTTTGGCTACCCTGGGGTGATCAGAACCTAGCATGGCTTTTAAGACTTTTGGTGATTTGGGGAGGTGGCCTCCCTTTGGCCCCAACCTTCTTACAGCCCACAGCCAGGTCTGCTGCAGAGTGACTTGGGTAGAGTGTTCCAAGTTTGTCAAAGCTTCAGACACTCCGTCCTTAGGAGTAGCGATGGAGCCCATGGGAGCTCAGCTGAGCTTGTGGGTCTGCCTCCCAGGCTGTAAACTCCTGTCCATGTTGCAGTTGAGTGGCTGGTAGAGGCCACACTTAGAGACTAAGTGGTGGATTTGGCATTGGAGCCCCCTGCCGAAGTCCGCAGACAAGAAAGCTGTGTTGCTGTGGCTTGTTGCTGCAGGGCCTGATGTCGGGTTGGTTGGGCTCCTGAGATACCTCTTTCTCTTCCAGCCAAGCCTTCATGTGCACAGAGCTGGGTCCTTAGGACAGGAATGCTTTGCCCAGTCACAGACCCGGGACATGGCTAGGGTCTTGGGATAGGAAGCAACACCACAGGAGGGACAGAGCCTATTCTAGAAGCTGGTACACACAGAACTGGGAATGAGATTGCAGGGTGGGTGGACTGGAGACTCCAAGAAGAGGAGTCATGTCTCGGAGCTACTGTCCCCCCCACTAGGAGACCCCAAGTGGCTCTCAGGACCAGCTTGTGGCCTCTCAGGCAGCCCATGCCCCAGGGCTGAGTCCTGGGCTCTGATTACATTTTATTTTTTCCTAAGCTTGTGACCAGCTCTGAAGTCCAGTGCAGTTGAAGGTCCATTTAAGTGGCTACTTGCCTAAGCCCTTCTGTCAACACAGCCTAATCCCTCCTGGGGGCTGAGTGTCAGAGGAGCCTGCTCATCCAGGGTCTCTACTGGCTGCTTGGGTCTGACTTGAATTGGCTAGGAAGGTTTGGCTATCCCTTCTTCACTACCCTGCTACTTTTGGGGTCTGGGACTAAGGGCTCTTCCCAGCCTGCACCGTGTGGTGTTTGGCAGTCCAGGTAGCCTCTGAGCCTCTGTCCACTGAGTTGATCCGTATGGGACAGAACTGAGAAGAAAGGGAGGCTGGGGAATTTGCCCCAGGCAGCCCCTGTTTCCTGGCCTTGCTGCCCAGGGCTGGCCTTCCTCCATGCCTGTCAGGGAGTGGGGTAAGGGCTGGCCTCAGCCTGGATGGTGGGACTGGAAGGCTGAGCCTGCAGAGTCCAAAGGTCCCAAGACTGCACTGACCCTCTTAGTTGTTAGTGGCCCGTTTGTTTGCAAGGGTAACAGGTTCCCAGAAGCAGGGTTCCAGGCCTCCAACCACTCTCTTGTGGGGTTCTTGGGGACCTAGTGAACTTGGGACCTGCATGAGGGGGCTTTTTAGTAGCATCAGAGCCCTTGTGACCCAAAATAGAGCACATTCCGGGCATCCCGAAATAACAGGGTCACATGACTCAGGAGGCTGGGCTTGGAGTCCAGCTTGGGCCTGACGAGGCAGTTCACGGTTAGGCCCCCAGCTGCCTACTCATTTGGGCATTTGTTTTGGGAAACTCTGGAGGGGACTCTGTTGTTGACTGAGGAGGTGTTAGGGCGAGAAAAAGTGACCCCCTGATGGTGATCTGACTGTGGCAGTGGCCTTGCCTGCCTGTATTCTTTGGGCTGGCACTGACTGTTGTGTTGGGCACAAGCATCTGCTCAGATGTGGGCTCAGAGAGCTAGGCCCACAGGAAGGACTGGCTGAGGGTGGGGAGCCCTCCACACAGCACAGGTCTGCCCTGCTCAGAGTCTGTGGGATGTGTGGGGTGCAGAGCTGAGTCCACAGCTTGGTCACGTGGGGCGACTGCCGTGGGCTGGCTCCCAGGGCCAGGTCTGCCAGGGCCCAGGCGGCTCTTCCAGCTGTGCATGTCCTTCAGGGCCTGGGCTAGGTGCACCTCCTCCGGGAGGTCCCTCTGATTGCCAGGCTAGTGTCCTGTTCCATCCTGCCACGACTGTCCTGGAGCCTGAGCATAAGAGTAGGACCCTACCCCACCCTCATGCCTTCCTTTAGGAAAGGAAGAGGCTCAGAGGGTTTGCGCTCTGTGTGGTTGCTGTAGGGGTGCTCCGGCCTGCGTCCCTCCACCCAAGGGCTAGCTGTGCATATCAAAGGGGCTCTAATATCCACATGTGTGAACAGACCCAACCTGCACAGAATGTGCTATGAGAGAGTGTTGACCCACTGGTCAGTGAGGTTGCCCCTGGCTTCCTATCTTTAGTGATATAGTGATACGGGGTTTCACTATGTTAGAACATGTTAGGGCCAAGGTCTCCGCGGTGAGTGAGGCCTGGCTCTACGGAGAATTGGGCTGGTGGACCTGGCTCAGCTGTCTCAAGACGTAGGCCTTGTGCATGGCCTAGGGCCAGGACAAGCCAAGACCTGCTTTCCTTCCGTGCTCCTTATTCCTAAAGCTTGTGGGCCCGGGAAGGCCTTGAGGTATCAGATTGGCTGCTGAATTTTCATGGGAACTGGCCATCAGCTGGGCCAGAGATGAGGTCTGGAGTCCTAGCTCTCCAGAGTGTAGGTGTCCGGTTTGTGGCTTGGAGTGTGTCCGTTTGCAGGCTCACCTTCCAACCCTTTGTCCCAATGCTCTTTTAAAGAATGTTTAAAATTACTTTTATTTGTGTGTGTGTATATATGCGTGTGTGTTGTGTGTGTGTGTGTATATATGCGTGTGTGTTGTATGTGTGTATATATGCGTGTGTGTTGTGTGTGTATATATGCGTGTATTGTGTGTGTGTGTATATATGCATGTGTGTTGTGTGTGTGTATGCGTGTGTGTTGTGTGTGTGTGTACTTGTAGGTACACATGCATTTGTGTGGAGGTCAGAGGACAGCTTTTGGGGGTTGCTTCTCCTTCTACCACCGTGTGGGTCTTAGGGATCTAACTCAGACCTTGGTAAGCAAGTACCTTACCCACTAAGTCACCTCACCAGCCCCCAGTGCTTTTGAAACGGGCTAGTTTCAGTGCTGGGGAAGGGTTGGGGGAGATGGTCTGTCCACCTGCTCATGGGCCTGCAGTCTGTCCTAAGGTGTACTTGTTCCTTCCCTGTCCTTTCTCCCTTCCATTCAGACTCTCTTCCATGGCCACAGAGGGCCCTGAAGGACAAACACATCTGAACAATTGATTTCAGCCACCTGCATCTGTAAAATGGACGCATTCCTTGTTTTTCAAGGCTGTTGGGCCTGTAGCCTGTTTTGGCTGGTTGGGAGTTCACAGAGTTCTTTGTGGGGTGTGCCTCTTTCTTTCCCAAGGTGAGGTCTGTAACCAGGTCCTCTCTGGTCCTCTGCCTTGTGTCCGGACAGGGCCAGGTCACCAGTGTTGAGCCCAAACCATCCTGAGACTCCCCCGTGCGGTTGGGTATGGGAGCAGAGGTGGAAAGTGGGTATCAAGAGAGCACAGCTGCAACCCCCTGGCCGCTTGGCTGTGTGTCCCCTGCCTAGGTTTCCAGTCCCTTGCTGGGCTCCCTTGACAGACCCCAGCTGCTGCATGCCTCTCCCCAAGGCTCAGCGAGTCTGGTGGAGCAAAGAACTGCGCGTGAGCACACCCACCCGAGTCTGGTGCGAGATGTTCTGAGCAGTCGTGCCCCAGCGCCTCACAGACAGGGAAATTGCACCCTAGAGTTACAAAGCAATTGTCTAGCTCAGCAGCTGAATGAGCATGAAACGGAGCAGAAAGCAGCTAAATAAAATTGGCCCAGGACGTGTGGGGAGCAGCCTGGGTGTGCACAGACACATATTACCCCCCCCCCCACACACACACACACACTTACCTGGTGCTGCCTTCCACCCCACCATGAGGCAGCAGGCCAGTGCTGCAGGCCTCTCAGGATCTCCTAGACTTCACATGGATCTGTGGGCCTGGCTGCTTCTCGCAGCCCTGTTCTTTGAAATCTCTCCTATCCTGCTCAGGACCCGCCTACCTGGAGAGGGTGCTGATGTGTATCCGTTGGGTGTCCGCTATGTAC